TGGAGGAGGTTACAGCTCTGGAGGAGGCTCCAGAGGTGGATCCGGAGGGGGATACAGCTCCGGGGGAGGATCGGGAGGCGGAGGCTCTAGGGGAGGGTCAGCCTCTGGAGGGGCAGTGTCTGGCTCTGAAAGGGGTGGTTCTGGGTCAGAGGAAGGTTGTGGCTCCGGGGTGACCTTCTCCTTTAGATAGAGATGGTCCTCTCCCTACTCTTTGGTTCCGGAACTCCAGCTGTATCTCTGTATCTCTAACTCAGAGTAACCCTAATATTTACAATCCACCTCCGATGGCATTTTCTTCTTGTGAGGAGGTGATGAAAGAACCACCCTAAACAATTAGAGTCAGAGATATGTGTTCTGAGAAAGAATCTGTGCTGTCCAACTGTGTCTTCAAGCCGTGTCCCGCTCCTGGTCTCCTTGCATTGCCCACCTGGCAGTCCTTCCCAGATGGTGTTCTGCTGAGGACCCCGGGGTAGCCCCCTGTTCCATCCCCCAACAGTGGTTGGGGAACTGTGCTTCTGTGTACATAGCCTCTCGAATGGCCTCTGCTCTCTGAGTGCTGCGGTCTGGGTGTCTGCATAATAAACTTCATTTGCAATCGATACTGTGTACTGTCCATTGTCAAGCTTTGGCGGGAGTGGGGCCATTTTGGAATGGGGGAGGGATGAGTCTTTAAGGAAGGGGCAGCTAAGGAGCTTGGAAGGTTTTCCTGTGTTAGGAGGGGGCAAGGGGTGGCCCTGGAGTCAGGGTTGGTGAACCACTCTCAGAAAGGATTTGCCAGAATGGGGACTCTGGCCTTTATAGACATTATAGAAAATGTCTTTCTAGGCAGAAGTGCTGCCTCTGAGAAGCATGAGGGCAACCATAAGCAGGAGCTAGATGCCCAGACAAACAGAGCAGGAAGGAGCTCCAGCAGTCAGTGAATTTGAACTTCCACTCTAGACAAGAAAGCGGTCCTCTTCCCGGTTCCTGTTCTGCGAAGTGGGGAGCTTTGAAAGGTAGAGACAACTCTGAGAGGTAGAGAGGAGGTAAGGCAGAGCAGGTGGCAGGGTTCTCTGACTCTACCAGTGACCTGCATCTCAGCCTTTGGATCCCCAGATCCCCAGGCCTCCCACGGAGACAGCCGGCTCCCTCCAGCTGCTTTCTCCCTCCAGCTGCTTTCATGCTGGACTCCCAACAGCCCAAAGCCGCCTTGAATGTTAGCACAGACAGATTCGGCCTGAGGCTTTCAGAGGCTACAACTGGACAAGAGGCAAGCTTTCCAGAGGGTTTTTGTTTCCTCCTGAGCAGACTCATCTAGAATCTGGTCACAGTCTCTCCACCCCACACCCATCCTATTTCCATCAGGTTCAAAGATGGATTTGTCAAGTTCTGGGCTTTAAAGGCAAGATTGTGTGCATTCCATTTTCACAGACGACAAGGACAGGGATTTATTTACACAGTGACGATGGGAAGGTTTTCAGGACGCCTACTCCCTGTAGTGGAAATTTTGGTTTCTTTAAGAACTCAGTTATGTTATGTAAATATGTTTTTGTTTTAATCCCAAGTGTGGGATTTTAGTTTGGGCTTTAGTTTGTCCACAGCTGATAACTGCCTCCTGCGGGATGTGGTCTTCGCCAGCTGGTAATGTCCTGCTTTCTAACCCCCTCACCCCACTAACCTTCTCTCTCTTACCTAAGGTTGAAGGGTTGGTGGAAGGGAGATGGAGGCCTAAACACCCCAAATAAAATAGAGTTTAGAAAAGAGCACAGCAAGCCCATCGTTTTCTCTGTTTATATGTCCTGTGTAAATTCAGCTGGGTCTTTTGCTTGCCCCTTCTCACTAGCTTTCGCTAGGAGGAGCCGCACACTCAGCTGTGACATGGGCCTCACCCTGGGGGTGCAGTGCCCGGCGACATCAGGAGATCATTTTTCCTCCCAGACTTTATTTCGGCATCATTTCAGGGGTCAGACTGAGAACTCTGAAGGCAAGGATAGTCTGTGTGCCCCTGTGTGTCCTCCAGTTCCCCAGAGACAAGGTTTGGAACTCAGAGTCAGTGAGGAGGCTTCGACCTGTCTGAGCATGAGAGTGAGCATGGGGCGCCCCAAGTCCTTCCCATTCTGTTTAGCCGAGTGTCTCAGGCTGGGGCTGTGACTGACTGCTGCAGGGAGATAAAGGTGGAGCGTCCTGCAGGGAGATCCCAGTCTAGGGATGGATGGGAACTTACAAGCAGCTGCTCATGCAAACTGGGGTACAGTTAGCAGTGGCTACTCTAGGTCTCATTGTGTAAGTCAAAGTCTTTTGGATGCTTATTTAAAACACAGTCTTAGTTGCAGTTGGAGTTGGGAGGATCCTGGAAATCCCCCGATTAATAAGTTCCAGGTGCGCCAAGGCTGGGGCTTGGGAACCGCACTCCGCTGGTTGTGTGGTTGCTCATTTTCTGGTACTTTGAAATTCAGTAGGCGCTTAGTAAAAACCAAACCAAACCAAAACAAAAGGATTGCATGAGAGAATATAGAGCCTCTGGTACATTTTAGCAATTTAACAATTCAGAGTCTTGGTTTACACATTTATAAAACAATAAAATGTATCTCTTTGCGGGGCTGTTAGAAAGATAAACACAATGAAAATGTGAAACGTCTTCCTACCCCTTAGGGCCTGGGCCCTCACACATGCAGCCCTGTGCTCCTTACTGTTGTTAGAGAGTATTGTGAGGCTGGGAGGGTTTCACAGATGAGCTGGTTCAAATCCAGGCACTAAAGGCTATGCAGGATTAACGACAAGATGATAGCAGCTCCACATAAACTCTTCCAGAAGACAGAAATAGCCATTACCTTGCATCTTGCTTTATAGAACCACAGCAAGACATTGTAAAACAGCTAGACACGTTCACATGTCTGAAAACACAGACTCCAAAATTCTCAAGAAGATATGAGCAAATCTGATTTAGGAATATGTGAAAAGGATACATCATGCTATGGGAGGCTTGTCCCAGAAATAAAAAAGCTGGCCCACAGTAAGAATCAATTACTGGGTTCACTCTACAGAACCGAAAAACCAAACCAAACCAAGCCAAACCAAACCAAGCCAAGCCAAGCCAAGTCATATTTGCTGTATTGTTATATTGTAGAAGAAAACCATCTGAACAAATGCAGACTCACTTGATAAAACTGAGCATTCATTTATTAAAAAATTAGGCAGACAGTACAGTGTGAACAAACAAGACGGCTGGGACTTTCTGGAAAACGCCCTGGCAGGTGGACTTTGGACTCAGCTTTTGAATTTTAACTGCATTCTTTGGCTTGCCATCTCCCCCAACAGATTTTGGATTGTAAAACTTCCACAGTCACATGAGGCAGATAACACATACCCCCCCCACACACACAACAGAGATTTTTCTTATAGCAAACATTAAATGTTGAAAGTCTTAATGCTTTTCCTATAAGACTGGGAACAGGTATTGATCTAATGTAGCATTTTGCTGGAGGTTCCAAAAAGTACAAGAAATATAAGCCATACAGGTTGGAAGGAGGAAACAAGACTGATTTTATCTATACAGTCAATGCTGATGTTTGTACAAAGTCCCAAAGAAGTTGGCTGGTATTGGCTAGCATGCCTGTGTTATGTTGACGCACACAAATGCTGGTGATATTTATAACTTGGTGCTTTCCAAATATGTTATTGCTTTCCATTGAGAAACACTGTAGGAGGTGCTGCCCGAAAGCCCAAGGGCCACCAGCTCCACCCAGGCTGCTCCACGTGCGTCTCCTCGGGCACTTACAGATCTAGTCCTTGATTCAAGTCTCCTCGTGTGCATTGAGCATACAGCCTGTTGGCATTGGTTCAGATCCTGCTTCCATCCCTGGGCTAGTTGAATTATTTTGGGAAAGCACTTAATCTCTTGAACCTTAGTTTCTACTTCTGAAAGGACTTCAGTAGTGTCTGCCTCCTAGTGCTGTCAGGGGGGTTAAGAAGCTCAAGAACAATTCTCCTGGCCAAGAACCTAATAGCCCTGAAATACAATGATCTCACGATGTTCCATGGCTTCGGACGGGGAACAGAATAGACAAATATTTACCTTTGTAAAATGTCAGCGGCAAGGGTTAACACCATAAGGCGGGGCGATGGCTCACAGTTAAAAGCACTGGCTGCTCTTCCAGAGGACTCAGGTTTGAGTCCTAGCACCCACTTGTCCGCTCACAGTCTTCTGTAACCCTAACTCTTTGGCATCAGGCATGCACACATACAGAGACATGCCGAGAAAATACTCATATACATAAATAAATGAAAAATGCTTAAAAGTAACACTGTTTCCATCCCCTGAAAGCTTTTGTATTGTTTTGTTTTTTGGTTTTTTTGAGACAGGATTTCTGTGTGTGGTCATGACTGTCCTAGACTCTCTTTGTAGACCAGGCTGGCAGGGGACCAAGGGATCCACGTGGAGGCAGGACAGGAGGCTCCCCACCACAGGGTGGGGCCCGGCTGTGGATTCCTCTCCTGTGTCCCAGCCAGTGAGCCATGAGAACTGTCTCCCGCAGCCTTGGGAAGCCAGGCCTCGGGGCTTCATAACCACATGAAAGCAGCTCAGCCAGGGTCCCTGAGGCAGATGATCTGACGCTGGCACAGGTGGGAGATTTCTCAGAGACGACACCGTCAATTACCGTCTCCTCCAGCTTTCCTACCGCCCCAGCCCTCTGGAGAAGGACAGCTAGGACCATGACAAGCTTCCTAGGCAAGATCTTCCTGGGGATAATACGGCCAGTTAATTACCCCGTGCTAATAAGATAAGACTCAATTACACGCAGAGGACCTGCAAGCCCAGCACTTTGGGGTTTTCAAGTCACCCCATGTCTCTGATTTTGATAGGAGAAAATGATTTCTTCCTCGAAGGCAAATTAAACCCACCAATTAGGACAATTGTTCTGTTGAGCTCTATAAAGGGGAAGGCCAAGATCACAGGTGGTCAACACTCAGCCTCTTCCGTGCCGGCGCGCGTCTCGTTTCCATTCTGTGGCTTCTCCGCAATGAATCGCCAATTCACCTGCAGGCCAGGAGCTGGCAGCAGGGGCTTCAGTGGCTGCTCCGCAGTGCTGTCTGGGGGCAGCACCTCCTCCTACCGGGCAGGGGGCAAAGGGCTCAGCGGGGGCTTCAGCAGCCGGAGTCTCTACAGCCTGAGGGGCGCCAGGAGCATCTCCTTCAATGTGGCCAGCGGCAGCGGGCGCACAGGGGGTTATGCGTTTGGCCGGAACCGGGCCAGCGGCTTCGCAGGCAGCATGTTTGGCAGTGTGGCTCTGGGGCCTTCAAATACATCCCCATGCCTGCCCAGCGGCATCCACCAGGTCACAGTCAACAAGAGCCTCCTGGCCCCCCTCAATGTGGAGCTGGACCCCGAGATCCAGAAGGTGCGCACCCAGGAGCGGGAGCAGATCAAGGCCCTGAACAACAAGTTCGCCTCCTTCATCGACAAGGTAGGACTGCAGAGGCTAAGTATCTCCTTCCTCCTCCACCTTCACCGTCCTCAGGGGCTTCCTAGCTGGAGACAGGATGATGGGACCCCTTCCCAGGATACAGACACCACAGGACAGAGCAGAGAGGTAGCAGATGGTACCCTGGGCACCAGGGCTGAGGGAGAGACAGGACCAAAGGCCTGTGAAAATAAGAGAGAGCGTCATTTGGAAGGTGTCTAGGGGCAGAGGCAGTGAGACTTAGAATGCAGGTAAAGGAGAGGCCGCAGGAGCCTTGGGAGGTGCAGGATGCCGAGCCTGTGCAGTCTGCATTTTGAGGAGCCCTCTAGGTAGGCGAGTCTTGAGCAAAGGAAACTTCCGGGGTGGGGGTGGGAACCAGAGGGGGCTCAAGGTCCCAGTTGATGGCTTTCAGGTAGGCTGTGGAAGGCCATGACAAGGAAGGAAGGAGCAGGCCAAACAAACTAGACCACCAGGCCCCGAAGAGCCTGGAGGTATTTGGGGGGCATTTTCTTTTTCCCAGAGCTTACCTTTGAAGGTCACATAGCAGATCAAAATCCATCCTTTCCTCTGAAAAGAAAGTTTCCCGTCCCATCCTCTCTGTTGACTGTGGGATGGGCTCAGGTGTCTGTGGGTCTGGGCTCCAGGTGGTGTGGGTCTAGGTTCCAGGGGTCTGTGGGTCTGGGTTCCAGGTGTCTGTGGGTCTGTGCTCCAGGTGTCTGTGGGTCTGGGCTCCAGGTGTCTGTCAGTCTGGGCTCCAGGTGGTGTGGGTCTGGGCTCCAGGTGTCTGTGGGTCTGGGATCCAGGTGTCTGTGGGTCTGGGTTCCAGGTGGTATGGGTCTGGGCTCCAGGTGGCTGTGGGTCTGGGTTCCAGGTGCGCTTCCTGGAGCAGCAGAACCAGGTGCTGGAGACCAAGTGGGAGCTGCTGCAGCAGCTGGACCTGAACAACTGCAGGAAGAACCTGGAGCCTGTATATGAGGCCCACATCAGCAGCCTGCAAAAGCAGCTGGACACACTGTCTGGGGACAGAGTACGGCTGGACTCAGAGCTGAGGGGCATGCGGGACGCAGTGGAGGACTGCAAGAAGAGGTCAGTGGGGACACTATGTGGGCTAGCTGATTCCTGGGGCTTTCTAAGAAGGTCCTGGGGCTTTTGTGTGTGTCTTCAGGGAGCCATAATTTGGGTAGAACAAGCCACCTGAGCTCAGCTGGTGGGCCAAGAGCCTTTATGGGCTTAACTCAGCAGGCTGGACTGTGGGTACTGCTGGGCGGTGCCAGTGAGGCCCTTGAGGGCATCCTTCTTCATGTGTGGCTTCCCACGCCCTTCCAGACAGCCGTTGTGTGTGCCCAACACAGAACTCCAGTTCCTAAGCTCACCCAGGTGCCCCAAGTTCCAAGGAAACTCAGGCAGGAGGTGGGATTCCTGTAGGTCTTCTCCTCTCATTTTCACTGGGTCCTGGAAACCCATCTGAGCCATATTCTTTCTTGACCTGAGTAGGGGTAGCTCTGGCTACCCACCTCAGGCTGGAGTGGCATTATTGGCAAGGGTATCAGGCAGGCAGTGCTGTTTCTGCTGGCAGAGCCCTGTTCCTGTGATCTGGATGCTGAGAAAGAGGAGGAAACCTCCACTCAGCCACAGGCATCAGAAGAACCCTAGACCAGAACCCTCCAGCCACCAGGTCTCTACTGAGAGCTCAGCCAAACAGCCCTACCAAGCTGAGACAGCTGAAAACCGGCTTAATGACCCACAGCTCAGACCCCCTGCATTTCCCATCGAGAACCACAGCTGTAGGTGCCCACACACCGGCCCCCCAGCCCCGCTCACCGATGCTTCCCTACAGGTACGAGGAAGAGATAAACAAACGCACGACTGCGGAGAACGAATTTGTGGTGCTTAAGAAGGTAAGGGGTGAGGGGGGCTGGCCTCAGTGCCCCAGTGCAGGGGGAAGAGGAGGGGGCAGTGAGGCCTGCACATCCGACAGCCCCAGAGACGGAGGCCAGTCGTGTCCACCGTGGACCCTGGTGATCTATGGACATAGATCGCTTTGCCAGAACAAGAGTCCCCCTGCGGATAGTCAGTCCGGGCTTATGCCAGAGCACACAGGACTCTGGGAAGGGCCAAGTCCTGCTTCTAACCCTTCTCATCTCTGACAAATCACTGTGGGGAGGAACGGGCTCTGTACCCGGCCTTGGAAGAAGTTCTCACAGTGAGTCCGGGCTGAGGTCAAGTTCCTACCCCTGGGGTCTTGAGTATCCTCCTGGGGCAGGCAGCCGCAGGATGGGGCTTCTGTGAGACAGGTCAGTGCAGGTGTCTTGGTCTCCCTTAGGATGTGGACGCAGCGTACATGAGCAAGGTGGAGCTGCAGGCCAAGGTGGACGCCCTGGACGGCGAGATCAAATTCCTCAAGTGTCTGTATGAGGGGGTAAGGCCTCCCCTTCCCCCTGGCTTTGGATTCAGGAGGGACTTGTTTATCAGTCAGCTCAACCCCTCCAGTGTTTGGGTGCTGAGGGCTTTGCGTTCAGCTTTGCGTTCACAGGCTGGTGACAGCCGGGCAGGCGGCTTCCCTTCAGTTTCCTGGCTCCTGCCCCCTCTTGGGGTGAATACATGGATTTTCTTCTCAGTTGGCAGTCTTTCACCGTGGTGTGGAAACCTTCAGCTCTGTTCTTTCAGAGAGCTGCTCTGCATGTACCTGTCTGGGACAGCCTGGGGTCATCCTGCGGGGACACGGCCATCCTGTTGTCACCTTTCCCTGTCACGCATTCTTGTGCCCCTGCAGGAGATTGCCCAGATGCAGTCCCACATCAGCGACACGTCCGTCATCCTGTCCATGGACAACAACCGCAGCCTGGACCTGGACAGCATCATCGCCGAGGTCCGAGCTCAGTACGAGGACATCGCCCTGAAGAGCAAGGCGGAGGCCGAGACGGTGTACCAGACCAAGGTGGGTGTGAGGGAATCTGGTTAGGTCCGCCTTTCTCTGCTCCATGACTTAACACAGGCCCAGCTTGCTGGTAACACCACACCGACCTTGGCACCTCGGGGAGCAAGAAGGGAGAAGACTGCTCTGTCTTTGGGTTCCCTCAGACCTGTGGCAGCCATTGCAGGGTGCAAACTGCAAGATGCCTGCGAAGCATCCTAACGCAGGGCTGGCTGGGATGGGGCAGGGCCTGCTTTCTGGAGGCAGTGAACTCTGAGGTGCTCGGGGAAGGGGAGCGGTCGGTCCTTCAGCTCCGTCATTATGGTAAATCACAGGTCTCTTCCTGGTGATCTGGGATCAAGTCCATCTCCAAGGAAGAAGAGGGCGTCACTCTGCATCACATCTTAGCTCCCCTGATAGGTGTGGGCGGGAGGGTGACTCAGATAATCTGGTTCCTCGGATCAGGATGCTAACTTTCTAATTGTTCCTTGCTGTTCACTGGGCACTTTCCCTAGGGAAATGACCCCTCCCCCAGACCTTATCACTCCTTACATCTCCTTCGAAGCCTGGAATGGAGAGGTTTAGCCTGTTGGGAAAGGGTTAGCCCTCAGGGCCTAAGGGACAGCACAGGCCTGGGCTCTTGGGGACGGCTTAGACTGGCCCAGGTTCCTTCCCTATCTATTCTCCTAAGCCAGGGTTGAGAATGGCCGCTTAGCCCCTGTGGGCTGTCCGGGCCCAGCACTCAAAGCCAGGCTGTCTCCTCCACGGTCCTTCCTGGAAGAAAAAGAGGAGCCTCACAGCTGCGGTTATTGACCGTTTTCTGTGTGGGTCGTGGGCACCTCCCCCTCCCCATGGGCTTAGGGACAGGGAGGCCACCGCTGCTGGCCAAGGTGTTGCGAGGTCGTTTTCACCATCACCATTTAACGATGCGGGAGATGCGATGGTGTGGGAGATGCGCCTAGAGTGTTTAGTAAAGAAGGGATGATGGTGCTGCTGTGTCTGGGGCACTGGCTGGGGTGCCAGAGTGGATCAGGGCTGAAGGTTCAGGGGTGGGGGGTGGGGGCAGAGGGGAGGGGTCAGGCAAAACTTCACCCCAGAGCGCCAAAGACCACAGCTGTTCTGTTTTCCCTGTAAGTTGAATTCTAGGACTATGCTGGGTTCCCTCTGTTGACGGTTGAATAGGCAACCCCAGGGGCAGGAGGAGACTGAGTCACGGCTGATACCCAGCCTCCTGCCAATCCAACTAGACAGCCCGGAGAGCCTGTGCCCACCTCAGAGAAGGGGGAGAGGAGGGAAACACAGCTGACTGGCTCCTCATTCAGCCAGTCACGTGATCTTCTCTTGAGTACCAGCGAGGCACTGTGCTGTGTACAGAGAATTCAGAAACAAAAGAAAACGTCCATCCACCGAGGAAGGCAGAGAACATGTCCTCTCGGTGCGGCATGTCTGACTTTGGGAGCGTAGGATCATGGGGACAGAACTGTACCTAACCAGAAAGCCTTCCTTCCTGGCTGAGCTACAGCTGCTTAAGGAAGATGGCGGGTATGGGTGAGGTCCTGTGGGGGAGCTCATAGTCCCTCACAGACACAGGAACACGTGAGAGTCACTCCAGGGAAGGATATTTGTCAAAGCTGAGAACCAGATAAATGAAGGCAGTGAGAAACAAGCACCTTGATGCCATGCTAAGAGTTTGAATTTCATCTTCCGTGGGCCACAGGCAGAGAGGTGCATGGTGGGAGACTCATCTCACAGAGATGCAGTGTGAAAGGTGGGACTTCCAAGAGTCCTATGGCCAAGTCTAAGTCTCTGAAGATGAGCCAGGCTTAAGGCAAATGAATAAAGTCCAGGGACAGATGGTTAAGCAGGAGGAGGCTATGAAGGGGGAATGGAGATCCCTTCTCCCCCTTGCCACGCAGCCCTGAGCGAAGGCACCGTTTCTGTGCTAGATTAGGCACACACAACTCTTAAATCGCGTGTGTGCTTTGTCACTTCCCTGGCAGTTCCAGGAGCTGCAGCTGGCAGCCGGCCGGCACGGGGATGACCTCAAGCACACCAAGAACGAGATCTCAGAGTTGACCCGGCTCATCCAGAGACTGCGATCAGAAATCGAGAGTGTGAAGAAGCAGGTGAGGGATCAGGGCTCCTGGCAGGGGCCTCCTCTGCCCCCCAACCAGGAGAAGGCTAAGAGGCTTAGAGCCTCCCTGCCCTGCCTCCTCCACTTCGGGCTCTGTCCTAGAAACCTCTTCCTCAGAGAAGGCTCAGCTCCTCCCATTTGCTCTCACCTGAAACCTAGAATCCTTATAGGGCTCCCCACCACATCTACAAGACTGAACAACAAGCTTCCCTGTGGCCAAGTGAAAGTCCTCACTGCCGGATATGTCCAGGACAGAGTAGGGCCCATCCTCCCATTAGCACGGGGACCAGAGCGGGGCTGGGGACCTCAGAGCTCAGGGGATGCTACCGTCTGCCCTCAGTGCTCCAACCTGGAGACGGCCATTGCTGACGCCGAGCAGCGAGGCGACTGCGCCCTCAAGGATGCCCGGGCCAAGCTGGACGAGCTGGAAGGTGCTCTGCAGCAGGCCAAGGAGGAGCTGGCACGGATGCTGCGTGAACACCAGGAGCTGATGAGTGTGAAGCTGGCCCTGGACATTGAGATCGCCACGTACCGCAAGCTGCTGGAGGGCGAGGAGTGCAGGTGAGAGAACCTTTGCAATCCTCCCTGGATGGCACTCCCTGCAATGAGGGAAGCAGACATTGGAGGGACTGCAGATGCTTTCCAGTTTAGCCACACAGAGCGATTTCCAGCCACACAGTAGGGCAGCAATGTCCTCTAAGCTTGCCTTCAGCCTCCAGAGTCCCAGCTTTTAAGTGTCGCCAGCCTCAAGGTCTCGCTATCCCTCCTTTACACATCCTAAGCTCAGTGTCTCAGCACCAACCAGCTCTCCTCCTCCAGCCAAACTGCTGGTTTTCACTGATTTATTTTTAGTGGCATTTCTTTTTTCATTTGGTTATGTAGTTCCGGTTTGCCCATAGAAACATAAAACCTTTTAAGAGAGATGCATTCTTTTCCCTATAAAAGTACTCAGCAGCAATGTAGGCTGTGCTGAGTCCAGCCAATTGGAGGGAAAGGACACAGATCTTTGTCATCTGGAAATCCCGGTGCTTCATTCACTGCTACTTTAGTCGTCTGTCTTCCCCTGCCTCTATGGCTCAGGCCTCAGCTACCCAGCAGTCAAGCAACGGGCTCAGAAGCTGCACAGGCAGACGGCGCCCTGGCCGTGGTGTTTGCCTGGGAGCCCCAGTAGTACAGCCTTTCTCTGTGGTGGGCGGTGGACGAGGGAGGGCAGGAGAGACTGGGAGGCTCTAGCCTCGAGACAGAGGTTGCTAAGTCTTTCTGACTGGGGGGCGGGGGTGGGTGGAATGGACCAGCTGGCGATTCTAGGCACTGTCTGGTCCTCAGTGTGTCCTAAGTGTGATGGAGTATACCCGTGCTTTTTCCTGCGCAGGATGTCTGGAGAACACAGCAGTGCCGTGAGCATTTGTGAGTATTTCATGTCTGGGGGGTGGGTGGGTAGTTCCAGGCAGCCAGCAAGCACAGAGTGCTGAGCCGGGGTCTGAGCCAGGGCCTCTGTGGAGCAGCCCGGGTTCCACCTCCGAGCTGCTCCTTCACCGGCAGCGTTAGCCTCTCACAGCTGTGACTTTGCACGCCCTTCACTTCCCCAGTGCTGGCATGAAGCCCTCTCCTCTACCCACACCCACACTGTCGTGCATGATGGAGTACAAGGTGCCTGTCCTCTCTGGGAGGAGACACCTGCGCAGCCGTGTGGCACAGTGTCAGTGCTGGCCCCGCAAGGCTCAGCCATGCTCTCTTCAAGGAGGGGGGCCCAGCACAAACACCCCAATTCCAGCCTCCGTAAGCACAGTGGGAACAGCGTCAGGGCGCCTTCTCAGGGTAGACACAAGAGATCAGCTTATGTTGGGGTATCATCTGTCCGTTGGGGAGACCTTGCATTCCTGGTCCTCTAAGGAAGAACAGGGGCCTGGCTGTGACAGCTGGGCTGCTTCTCTCAACGCTTGCTGTGCTCAGGAGCCAGCATGTGTTCTTAAATGTGGGGTCCGTGTGAGAAGTTTAGGCAGCAGAGAGGTCTTTGAGTGAGTGGGATGGGGGTATTGGAGGGAATTAGGGCCACTTTGGCCATAGACACCCACTGACGTGCCTTCTCCCCTTCACAGCCGTCATCAGCAGCTCTGCGCCTGGGACCAGCGGAGGGGCCGGTTTTGGGTTCGGTAGCACTGGCGCCTATGGCTACCGGCCCAGCTCCGTTGGTGGGGGCTACGGCATCCTGTCTGGGGGCTGTGTCACCGGTAGCGGGAATTGCAGCCCCTGTGGAGAGACCAAGACCAGGCTTGGTAGCACCAGTGAATTTAAGGAAGTTTCAGGAAAGAACGTGGCTTTGGGCTCGCCCACAAAGAAAACCATGAGATAGACTGACAGCTGGGCGCCCGTTTCTGCCCAGCTGTGGTTTTCTCTGGAGCCTCTGCCGGGAAACCCCTCTGTTTGCCATCGCTTGCTCGCTCACTTCTTGCCGTTCTTTGCTACCAACCCCGCTGCCTTTGTCTTTATTAGCCATACCAGAACTCTCAGGTTGAAGCTATCTCATGAATCCTTCTGCCTCAGTGCAAAGGGACCACTTCTCTGAGCCTTCCATATCCTCGTGATGGCTCACCTGCATGCCCCTTTCTGGTGGAGCTTCCGTCTAGGCTAATCCTGATCCTCTGCTGCCCATTACCGTCTGGGCACATGAGACAGGAAGTGTGTTGAAGGACGGTCTTTCGAGAGCCGGCCCAGCCTGCCGCAGCACCGGGCCACAGATGCATCTGGCACGGTCTCTGTTGGTGTAGGGCTGGGAGTCCCCATCCCATCTGGACCTGGTTCAGCTCCAGTCCTCTGTTCCTGTACCCCACTAATAAACATATAAAACCCATGGAAGGTCAGACTACCTCTTTCCTGAAGGAACCCTCATTTCAGGCCACGTCCCTCTGGTATGTGGAGTGCTCACCGAGCCTCTGGCATCTGAGGTCTCTCCAGTCCACAGAACCCCGAGTATTGATCTGGGTGATGAGGCCCTGACCAGGCTGGGTCCCCACCAGCCTGCGTGGGCCCCAGCACCACCTGCACTGATCCCTAACATTCACCTGTCCACAGCCGACAGGTGTGCCTTCTAAGTCCTGCTTCCTCAGCTACAGTCAGGGTGCACAATGTCTAGCGACGTGTGGGCTACAAGGAGCAGTCAAGTGCCTGGCAGCAAGCCTAAAGCCGACCGAGAGGCAGTGGAGAGACAGTTCTGAAAAGCTTAGGACTTGATGTCTTCTCACTAAACGCCTCGATGGTAGATTCCTCTTTGAAATAAAGACCCAAGTCCTTAACAAAGTTTGTGCTGAGTCGAGCATGAGCGTGTGTGCACGCAGGGATTTACGTGTGTGAACGTCTCCGGGGTCCACGCTGCAGGGATATGTCAGCTGCAGCACAGGCAAATGCAAATATGTTCGGATGGAGACTCGGGGGTGGCATCTGAGCTGGCTCCCTGCAGGCCCAGGGAGAAAATGGACTTCAAGAACAGAGCTAGGAATTTGGAATTCTGGTCCTGCAGCTAATTGTTGATCCTGAGCAAAACTGTCAGCCCGAGTGAGCTTCATTTCTTCATTCACAAAGCAGGTAAAATGGCGCTTCTGATGTTAGCTGGAGTGAGACCTAAGAGGGGGCACGAGCAATTCCTGGAGTACCGAGTCGAGACAGAAGCTTGCCAACGCCTTGGTTTAAAAGCGTGACTTAATTTGCTCACTAAAAGGTGTGTAGGAACTAGGAAAGCGATTCACTAAATCCGTACTTGGAGAGACCGTCTCATCGGGGATTGCTGCGGACTCATTCCCAGCATAAGCAATGAAGGGAAGGGGGAAGGAGGAAGAGAGGGCTACAGTCTGCCGTGGCAGGGAAGGCGGCAGAAGGTGGGGTGGTCACCGTGCTCTTGTAGTCAGGACGCAGAGAGAACTGAGAAAGGGCAAAAGGCAGAATGCGGAAGGGAGAGGGAGGAAGCGCTCTTTCTCCTTTTTATGCAGCCAGAGGCCTCAGCCGTTGGGACAATGCTGCTCACGGTCAGTGTTCTCGGCTGTCTTCAAAACTTTCTGGAGAAATTCTCAAAAACACACCCAGTTATATGTTTCCATGGAGATCTGATTCTAAATCAGATTGACAGTGAAGATTAAACACCGCGAGGACAGTCCAACCATGTTTTCCATAGCCGCAGGGACAAACTCTTGGGGCCGGTGAAGAGTGGTAGCTTGACGGGTTAGAGTCTGTCATGACATATGTTCATTCTTCGTATTGGACACTTGGTGGATTTGGACAAACGTGTAATGGTATGTGTTGGGAGTTGGTCTGATGCTTGTATTTTGGTGCTAATTACTGGCCCTCAAGATCTGGTTACTGTCTGGATATACCTATCCTGGTTGTGTGAACCTGCCTAAGACATTACACCGATTAGTTGATTAAAGGCCTAAAACCTGGGCAGGACAGAAAGGGGTAGGCGTGGCTAAGGTTCCTGGGCTTTGGGGAAGAAGAGACTCATAGGAAGAAAACAGATGGAAAGGAAGAGAAAAAGAAGGAAGAAGCCATAATGGGTTAGTGTGGAGAAGGAACAATGTGGGCCGGGAGGAAGGACTCCAATAATGGCATGGAACAGCCCAGATGAAGAATACAAGCAAGTAGTTACAAGACTATGGATGGAAGGCAGTCCAGATGAGGATGGTTAAGGCAGATGGCTTTGGATGGGGCTGGGAGGTGGATGGTGAGGTTATTGAGCCAGCGTAGGTGAAATATCTGCTCAGTCCAAGGTAAATAAGGCAATTATGAAACCTAACAGGTGTCTGTGTCTTCTTACTTCTTACAGGTTAAATAATACCAATCATAGGATAAATAATCAACATTATACAGCCCAACACTCATTTTTTTTTAAAAATTTACAACAGATATGTATCTACTATCATGGCAAGATACAGAGTTTTTCAGTGTTCCATAGATCCTCTGGCACTGAGAAAGCTAACGAACTAGGAAGCCCTGTGGTAAGACATCTTTTTATTCCACGTGCTAACACATGGACCATAGGGATGGAGAAACCTGCCCTGCGATCTTCAGGAAGGCAGGAGTGCAAGAAAGGGCAACTGTGCCCCGGGGGGGGCAACAACACAAAAGAGCACCCAGGGGCAGCCTTGGCAGTGAGGAGGCACAAGGAGAGAGGACTGACGGAGGGAAGAAAGGAAGGAGGGGGAGGGAGGGCAGTCTGTCAGGAGGCAGTTTGTCAGGGGGGCCTTCGGAGGTAGCTCGCCTCATGGACAACAGGAAGAAGTGAAGATTGGACCAGAGGCACTTGAATGGGCAAACTTGTTTCTTGTTGCTAGAGTGTGGCTGATGAAACAGGGGTGTGGGGGCTCGGGTGAGAGGCGTGGCAGCTGCTGGAGCTGGGGAGGCAGCAACAGGGGATCAGAGAGAGCCTCGCTTCTCTGCTGAGAGCCAGGATTCTTTCTGCGGAGCGTGAGGGAGAAAGGACGCCACAGCTGCCAGATGAAGAATCGAGAGGACTTGGACCCTGGCTGTGACAGGAAACTCTCACTGTGTGGGTCTCAGAGTCCTCATCTCTTAAATGGTTAATAACAGCGATAGTTACCGGATGAACTTACTATGATGATGAGCTTTAATGGGGTAGTGTTTGAGAGTCATTGCCTCACTGCCTGCTTGGAAAACATCATGCTCTTGGCATCATGAGGTGCAGGATGTTAATCCAAGCAGTTTACATGAAGGGGGATGCAAAGAAGAATAGAAATCAGACTATCTGACGAACATGAACTTAGAATAAAGAACATTAAAAGATAGTTCCGCCATTGGCTTCTATGTTTAGATCCCGAGAATCATGCCCACTGCCTCCATGGACAAACCCTGAAATCTGAATGTCTTAATACACAGGGTCCGTTCCTCATCTGCTGTCCAGGGCTGGCTACAGCACCTATCTCCCAGGGCTGTTCCAGTGGGTGTCTCGGGATCTTAGGCTTTTCTTAGCAAGGACATATGGGATGCATGGCTGTCAAGGTCACAGAGATAGAAGAAAAGGCCACTCAGGCTCCTAACTGCTTCATCATCCCAGAAGTATCTCTCTTCAATGGCCAATACTGGTCTATGGCTCCAAACACTAGTGGAATCCCAAAGGAGGCTGGGAGATGAAGAAGAGAGTGGGGCTCTCTGTCATCCTGAGATCATTCTGGAACAGGCTGCCTCAGCTGAGGTGCCCACTCACCAGGCTGAAAGTTCCTTTGCCGTTGGCCAGAGCTGGGAGGCACGGGACACACTCTCCAGAGCCCATGCAGACACACTTCCCTTTGGTTTTGACAACAACCTGGAGCACATTATCATAAGCTACATGACGCTGCACATTGCAATTAGGTCTTAAAACAAACAAACAAACAAACAAAACACTGCTAAGAGGCATTTTGTTTAGCTTGGAGAATTATCTATACAGTAACCAGGTTTTTCCTTTGAATATGTAAATTCGTTAAGCATATCAAGCAAAAGGACAAATAGCAAAGCTGGTAGAGAGAAACAGCAGATGTATGGCAAGCATTGGCAAATCACGCACTCACAGCATCCGGCAGAGCTGACTAGAGCAGCCCAGCATTAAGAGAGCAAGCACATGCTCACACCAGCAAGCCAGGAAGTCAAATGGGAAAGCCCTGTTGAGACAGGGCTGGAGTCTGAGTGGACAGTCCGGGGGACTAGCGGCCCGGCCAGGCTCTTAAGCACAAAGTGCAGGTAGACACCCAGCAGAAATGACTGGGGAGGCCGAAGCAGCCAGCAGGAGTTCCTGATTGAACGCTTTTCACCATGAATGAGCAGTGCACAGCTGAACTCCCGGCTTCTCATTCCCTCTCCAGTGATTTTTACATCGTGGGGCGAACAATAGTAACCTCTGTTGGAAATGGCTGACCTTCTAGTTATTGTCAAGGATACAGTGGTTTTATTCGGGCTGTTCAGCTCATCCATTCTTTCTCTGTCACAGAGTGAGGGAGGCCGGCTCATCCTGGATGAGGAGGAGGACAGTTTGAGGCAAACATGCCTGGGTCTGAAATGAGGAGGAGGGGACTGTCTCCAGACCCAGCTTCCCAGTGAGCTCCAAAGGCACATGACAACTTACCAATCTGATATACGTTACAAGAAGAGAAGGACAATCTTTCTGGATTTGGGCAATTTAAGTCCATTGAATGATAAAGTGGTGAGGTCTTCAGTGTCTCTCAAAGGCTGTGTCTTAGGACTCTGGTTTCCATGAGATATGTAACCAACACGAGCTCTTTAGTTAAAAAGGCTCTGGACACCAGAGGCTTTCATTGGTTTAGAATAAGAGGAGTATTTAACGTCTGATATAAAGACTAAGTTTCTCTTAGTTACTCTCTGGTTTTATTGGGAAGTACCTCATTTACGAAAACATTTTCTGCCCATATGTGAAAAGCAAGAAATAGTAATAAGTTTAAAAAGCCAACCATCCTTAACCCCCGCTCAGCTCCACATGATGGAAGGGTCAGGGCTTACAGCAGCCTTTGGCCAGCAGAAAGCGGGACTGCCTTTGATGCTGTTAACATCATGGGCCACCCATTCATCTATTTATGTATCCTGCCTTTGTTTATTTGTTTGTTTTGTTTTGTTTTGAGATGGGGTCTTTCTGTGCATCCATGGCTATCTTGAAACTCACTCTGTAGACCAGGCTGGCCTTGAACTTTCAGAGATCCACCTGCCTCTGCCTCCCAAGTGCTGGGATTAAAGACAAGCACTGGCGTTCCTGGCTTGCATTTAATTTTTTTAAAGGAAAAATGTTAAGGGTCACAGAGTGGCAGGTACAGTACTTTCCCACATGCCCTGTGCCCTCAAGGCACAGCCTCCCCCTCGTCAACGAACCTCTCAAGTGGCACATCGATATGGCTGGCGAATGGGCATCACTGCCGCTGGAGTCCACTGCTCACTCGGTGTTGGACATTGTTGCTCGTTTGTCTGCATGTTCACACGCGTGTGTGAAGTGCCACGGTTGATGTCTGGTGCTTTTCTTTGATCACGCTCTACAGCCTGCTGCAGCGTTTCTTCCTTCACTCCAGGGCCCGCTGGTTGGGCTAAGTCTAACTAGCCAGCCTGCTCTAGGAATCCCCTGTCTCGACTGTCTCTCCCTACCACACGCAGGCGACACACCACATCCATCTGGCACTTCCGTGGTTGTTGTTGACCCAAACTCCGGTCTTCTCAGATGAATGACACACACCCTATCCTCTGCGCACGCTCCTCAGCTCTGGGGCAGGACATCTTACGGGTCTGGATAAATGTACGGCAGCACTCACCCGCCACTGACTGCCTCATACTGCCTTGAATCATCTTGCTGTCCACCCACTACTAAGTGTGTCAACAGACTAACAAATCTTGCACTAGAGATCTGGCTAACTTTTGGCTTTAATTTTTTTTTTTTTTTTTTTTTGAGACAGTGTAGCTCTGTAGACCAGGCTGGCCTTGAACTCTCAGGGATCCTCCCTCCTGCCTCTGCCTCCCTGAGTGCTGGGATTAAAGGTGGGTGCCACCACATCTGGCTTCTGCTGCCTAACTTTTTTTTTTAACATAAAAACCCCTCCAAACTAACAATTTTTCACATGAGACTTATTAGTTTCTCGAGAATAGAGGTTCTAGGGCAAAAACAACCCAGTTTAAACTGGCACGTTTGCAACTGCCATCCCGGAGTGGCTTGGTCCGCCTTTGGTTGGAGAGCTCTGGATTTGAAGGGAGACAGTCCTGCCTTCCTCTACCAACCTAGGGACAATTCAATCCAAAACAGCTCCTCCAGGGCTGAGGTGACACAGCAACCTGCGATCAGAGGCAGGTGCCAGGACGCCCCCTCTCCCGGGCCTCAGCCACCTTTGATCTGCCCACGTCCCCACATATCAGAAGCCTCCGAGTGACGTGTGTCACTTGTGTGTCTCCCCAGCTGTAATAAAGGCAGTACAGGGGTGGGGACCTCCTGACTCGCGAAACCACCACGCGCCCTCAGGGGGAGGCAGGAAAAGAGCATTTTACCTGTTCCCTCTCTTCAGGAGAGGAGACGGGGCCCTGGGGACACAGATGTCCCTGTGTCGTAGTTCTCAGGGAAAGGTGACCACAAAGGCTCCTTTTGTAAGCCAATGTCCTATAAGGGCTATGCTCTTTAAATATCTTATTTTTCTGGTCTAAATGGCTAGCACTAATAAACTCTTGTTCTTGTTGGGGCGGGGGGGAGGCGAAAATTGAGTGGGGTGAAATTGAAATAACAAAATGTTGAAAAGCCTGAAGTTTCTTAAGGGACCGTTGAACCCAAGTCTCCCCACCCCTCAGCACAGAGAGCCCACTTCCTCTCCATGGGTCTGCCTCAGGTTCCTCTATCTGTCCATCTTCTCCTGGCGCCGCCATCTTCGCCACTCCCGATACCCATGTCACACTGTGCAGTGTGGGCAATAGCATGGCTGTTATTATACCCTCTGATGGGCTCGCTGGAGGCCGTGTCACTGCTCCAGGGTGTGCCTGACCACTCCAGGACGCCCCGGGGGGAAGGAAGGCTCAGGGCCTAACGAGGAGTCCCGTCTGCGGCTCTGTGCCCCGAGGGTCCGGCCTGGGCTGTCAGTCAAAGGGCTGTTTCTGAAGCAGAGCCAGCCTGTCCGTCTGCTCCACCTGGAGTCCTCTGCCCCCGTCCTCCACAAGCCGGGCCCACTGGAATTTTCTAAGGAAGATCTTGGTAGTGATGACCTATGTAATTGGAGGGAAGCCTGTAGAGATAAGGTTGGGAAATTATTATAATGCAGGAGATGAGCACAGGCAATTCAGGGTTCGGGCCATTTTATAGGGGATTTGTGGACAGGTAAAGGGAAGAGACAGGAATCTTTGCAAGTGAATGGTAATTTCCTAAATGAAGGACCCAAGAGGTCCTCCCACCCTACCCCAGTGACCCAAAAGGGGGGTTCTAACATACAAATTAGCTGACTCGACCCTGTCCTCCCAAGCAGGGCTATTTAAGGGGGGAGCTGGGCCAGGAGTGCAGCTGCATCTGTGCCCCAAGGCCTGCCTGCTGCCACCCTGCCAGTCCTTGCCCGCCGCCAGCCATGAGCCGCCAGTTAGGCCTGTATCCTGGTGCCGAGCGCCTGGGCTTCAGCGGCTGCTCCGCCGTCATCTCTGGCCGGCTCAGCAGCAGCCGTGCCTCGGTCCGGGCCGGGGTCAAGGGCTCGGCCACGTTTGGCAGCAGGAGCCTGTTCTGCGTGGGGGGTGGCCGCCGACTGGCACTGAGTGCTGCCGGGCGGAGCGGTGGCTTCACGAGAGGCCACGGAGTGGCCAGTGGTGGACGTCCCGGGGGCTTCGTGGGCACCGTCTTCGGCAGCTCGGGGCTGGGGCCCACGTACCCATCCGTGTGCCCACCTGGCGGCATCCCCCAGGTTATTGTCAACAAGAGCCTCCTGGCCCCCCTCAATGTGGAGCTGGACCCCGAGATCCAGAAGGTGCGCGCCCAGGAGCGGGAGCAGATCAAGGCCCTGAACAACAAGTTCGCCTCCTTTATCGACAAGGTGGGTTCTTCGGCTCCTGCAGTCTGGCATTGGCAGGCGCTGAGTGGTACACCTGCTCTGCCACTGGGAACGGGGACGAGCTTCCTGTCTGCATCTGTCAAGGGGGCTTAGGGACGTATCTTACCCCAGTGAAGGGGAACCTCGTCCTTCCTCGAGGGAAGGCTTTGGGAAGGACTGCACTCCTGTGGCACGCGTCCCACGAGGGCCTCCCAGGTTAGACCAGACAATGAGGACGCACATTCAGAACAGGGGCACTGGAGGGGCAAAGGCCAGCGGGTGTCATAAGGCACAGACATAAAAGGAGGGAAGGCGGTTTCCCGAAGAGGGGAGAGAAAGGGGCCAGAACATTCAATCCCAGCTTAGGGACATTGGCAGGGAAGGCAGAGCAAGGTGCACAGCAATGGGCAACCAGCAAGGTGTCTTTGGGGCTTCAGTGACAGGAACCCCAGAGAGTTGAAGAAGAAAAGGAACGGGCTTTCCTCTCTTCCACCCCATCAGAGCTCTTGACTTCCACCCCATCAGAAGGTGTTAGGAACATGATAGCAACAGTTGGCTCTGACAGACATTTCTGCATTCCTGGGTTTCCCTGGAGACTCTTACCAACTCAAGGCTTCTGAGTCTGTTTTTCTGGCTTTTATGTGAAGTGATCAAGGCTGGAACAATTGGAAATGAGCCCGTGTTCATAGAATAATGTGTTTTTCTCCTCTTAACTCCTCTACTCAAGCATGCTTCCTCTGTCCCTGCGCTCAGAGACAGGTAGGAGAGGAAGGCAGGTGAGCAGCAGAGGACCAGAAACAAGAGAAATCCTGAAATGTGTGAGAACCAACTTTGAACAAACTGAAAAATTAACCAGTAGCATCTAAGTTCCTAGAGAAAAGGAGCACTGCTCCCCTCCCCCCAAATGCCCAATTTCCCCCTCACTCCCCAGTTCCCAGCATCTTCAACAAGAGAAACTGAGCCCGTCACATGACAGCTCACCAGAGAGATGACACCACTGCCCAAGCTTGGCTCCCACATTTCTTTTAGACTGTGTCTTCTTCCCTGGAACTCTCAGAGTCCCCTCAGATAAACCTTCATGTTCTCCTGCCTCGCTCTTAAGAGCCAATAGCATGGGGAGCTGTGGGTGTCTGTGGGTCTGGGCTCCAGATATCTGTGGGTCTAGGTTCCAGGTGGCTGTGGGTCTCGGTTCCAGGTGCGCTTCCTGGAGCAGCAGAACCAGGTGCTGGAGACCAAGTGGGCGCTGCTGCAGCAGCTGGACCAGAGCAACTCCAGGAGGAGCCTGGAGCCCGTTCACGAGAGCTACGTCAGCAATCTGCAGAAGCAGCTGGAGACCCTGTCCGGGGACAGGGTGAGGCTGGACTCGGAGCTGAGGAACGTGCGGGAAGTGGTAGAGGAGTGCAAGAAGAGGTGAGTGGGGGCCAGGCGGAGGCGAAGGTCCCCTGTCAAGCCAGCACTTCCGCCTTAGCGCCTGTGCTGAGGCTGCTGGTGTTTCTTTCACATTCCACAGAAGACATGCCTAGATAGAGTGGGGTCAGAAGGATGGTAGGTCTGCCCAGAATGCAACTGAGTTGCCCAGGAAATCTGTTCAGTTTCTAGCCCTGGAAATGGGGGATGGGGGCAAAGAGCACTAGCTGAAACCCGGCTGTTTAGCACAAATGGCTTTGTGGTTTCTCCTAAGTTTTCCTACGGCAGTTCCTCAAAAGATAGGCACCTCACCAACCTTGGAACAAGATTTAAAACTAAGCAAAATAAAATTTAAAATTTAGTTTGTCTCGAAGTGCACATACCCAGTGGACTCTCATCTCTGAGAAAACCAGACTGAGAGAAGGTGGGACATGAACCTGGTGTTTGGAAAGTTTGCTTCTAGGAGCCTCTGGGGACAGACCCTGGCTGCCACCGTTCTGAGAGGTGGAGATGGTCAGAGCTTGCATATGTCACTTGTTCTATATCCAAAAGGCCTGACAGCCCTGTTCTGCAGTCCCCTCTGTCAGAATCCTGGCTTGAGCTCTGCGTGGAGATGCTAACAGAGCTGGCCATTGCCCTGACCACAGAGAGACTACGGGCACAGGCCGAGAGAAACACTTTCTAACAGTTACCAGGATTACAGCACAGCTGAGATCAGTGGAATGCAGAAGGGGCTGGGTGAGCAGGGTCTACAGACAAGGGGCAGAAAGTCCTGAGGTCTAGGGTGGAGGCTGGGCTGTGTCAGGGCCTTCCACAGGGTGAAGACCTGGAGTTCCTGAACTGTTTGCTGAGTGGCTTTAGGTGGGCCTCTCAGCCCTCTGGAACTGTGGCTTTGTCACGGTGCCTGTGACATCAAACACCGATGGCTGTCTCAGCGCCCGCAGGAGCTTCTGAGAGGAAAGAGGCAAATGGCAGTGTGCCGACTAACGGTGCTTAGAAGCTTGAAGTTCAGTCGGGCCATGTGTGCGAACTTGGCCAAGCACACACAAAATCAGGAAACAGAAAAGCCGTGATAGAATAACGAAAATTAGAGCTGTTGTGGAGCTGAGCATGGTGGCACACACCCTTAATCCCAGCAGTGGGGAGGCAGAGGTAGGAAGATGTCTGTGAGTTCAAGGCCAGCCTGGTCTACGCGGTGAGTTCAAGGTCAGCTAAGAATACACAGAAAGAGACCTTGCGTTCTGTAAGCTGTTACGGGGAATAAATGAGATGATGAGACATTTAGCGTGTTGTCTAGCATGCAGCAATGAGAAGAGCACGTCTTACGATGGTTTAAAATCATCACCCGCAAACAGGTGAAGGCGTGTGTCGAATGTGCGGTCCTACAAGTAAATAAAGAGAAGCCATGTTGCTTCTGACCATCATCTTGGCCAGACACTGTCTATTCTCTTAGGAAATAGAAAGCTTTAAAATACTAAAATCTAATCAGTCTGGCAACTAACACATGCTTTAATTTTTATCGAGAGGCGGCAGACATTAACCGTCTATACAATGAGGTAAGGACCACAGTGAAGGACATTTTATCACACAATGCCATCTGAAAGCTCTCCGTCACCCGCTGAGACAGAAAAAAGTATTTTCTGTTATTCTGTGAGGCCTCCTGTGCTATCCTGATTTTTATGTGAGGCGTGTGTGTGTGTGTGTGTGTGTGTGTGTTTCCTGTGTTTGGCGAAGGGCTCAAAGCCAGCTAATAGTGAAGCTGAAATTGGCATCGAGCCCCACACAGAGTCTGGGATAAATCGTGTGAACTCTTTATCCAACACTGTTAGAAACACAGGCGTTCTCAGCAAACCTCCCAGGTGTGTTTATTTGTTTGTTGGTTGGTTGTGTTAGAGATCGAACCTATTAGAGATCGCTGCCGCCATGCTAGGCAAGCGCCCTGCCAGGGGCTACCGCCCCCACTTCCTAACTCACACTGACTTTGTCTTAATCATACTCTCTGGGTGGAGGGGCTGCCAGCGACATGCCTTAGGGCCGTGTCTGCAATGTGCTGCTCACATTTAAGCATGTCTGAGGAAATGCTTTCTAGAATCAGATCCCCCCTTTAATGCAGTAAAATAGGTACAACAACATTTAACCATTTTCAGCTTCTTAAATTAAAAAAAAAAGCCACTTGTACTCCTTTTCCAATCTACAACGTCTCCTCATGGAAAGCAGCCGCTGCATCCGAACTTGCTTCGCCTGAAATGGACGCCCGGTGTGAAGAGAGCCCTGGCCGCCACATCACATTAGTGGGGGTGGGGGTGTGAACCCGTCGGCTGTCACACGGAGGACGCGCTTGAAGGAGGAGTGTGGGTCCCACAGGTCCCCACCACAGAGCCGCCGGCTAATCCCTCAGGGCAGACTGCATCCTGGCTAAGGGCTGGAGAAAGTGCTCTTTGAAGCAGCGCTCGCTCGCCCTTGGAGAAGGGGGAGCCTTGGGAGCAGCTGTGACGCAGACGGCACGGTGGGTGGGTGGACGCGATGGGTGGACCTCCGCAGAACTGGAGCGCCCCAGTGGCAACACTGTCTCCTCTAACAGGTACGAGATGGAGATTAACAGGCGCACAGCTGCCGAGAATGAGTTCGTGGTGCTGAAGAAGGTGAGGGTGGCTGTGGTTGGGGTAGGAAGAGGCCTTTCCAGCCTCTGTCACAGTTCCTTGGGAGTCTGACTCCTCAGGCGCTTCTGCTCACCCCCTCCCCTGGGCGCATCCTGTAAACTCCTAGAACCCATTCAGCAGAGTCCAAGCTACTCTGCAGCATTTTTGGTGTGTCCACACGGGTCAGTTTCCGCCTTGGGACTGGGACACTTTTGAAGGGAGGTGAAGGGAATGAAGAGTTGAAGAGCGAGGAGGGAGAGGAGGGCAGGGTGGCAGGTTGGAGAGGGTATCTCGACCATTGTGTGTGCCCCAGGACGTGGACGCTGCCTACATGAACAAGGTGGAGCTCCAGGCCAAGGTGGACGCCCTGACAGACGACATCAAATTCTTCAAGGTCCTCTACGAAGGGGTAAGGACTTGCTTGCTCTCTCTCGTCCCAGTGCCACTGACATTCTTGGAGGTCGTGCTGAGGGCTGGGCACAGAGCCAGACTTTGAGAACACCATGGGGAGTATCAGGGCGTTTGTCCTCCAGGCATGAGAAACAGCGTGTGAAGGAGCTTTGGGGGAGCAGAGGCCTTCAGGGGATTATGCCTCTGCAGAGGTCTGGGAAGGGAAGGGAACTGGCGAGGCCAGGTGGAGTGCCACCTGGAGTCTTGATGCGATTAGCACTCCTGGCTTTGGAGGAGGGTATGGGGACCTGAGACCATGGAGAGCCTAGCTTGGGACAGAAGTTCCAGGTTGTTCAGTCACATGCAGCTGCGGGAGGGGGAAGGTTTGACCGGGGTGGGTCAGGAGAGGTGGTGCCCTCACGGAGGAGCCCCTAACACACTCCCTTCCTCCATGGACTGCCAGGAGATTGCTCAGATGCAGTCTCACATCAGTGACACGTCCGTCATCCTGTCCATGGACAACAACCGCAGCCTGGACCTGGACAGCATCATCGCCGAGGTCCGCGCCCAGTATGAGGACATCGCCGAGAAGAGCAAGGCCGAGGCCGAGGCCCTGTACCAGACCAAAGTGAGCCCGGTGCCCTGTGCAGAGTGCTCGGGGCACAGCTGCCGTGCGCTGAGTGCACATCTGGTCCTGGATGTCTGCATGCACTCAGCTGAGTGTCTTTTTCTTTTGGAATTGAAGCTCCTAGAAATGCCTCACTGTGGTGCAGGGAGGTCAGCCCATATTAGCATTCCTTAGGGACACAAACGAGTTTAGCCCTCGCCTTACCGTGGCTCTGACAGACGAGACAGGCCGGCTACAACCTCAGAGTTTGAGTAACCCACTCTCAGCTTTTCTTTTTGTTTCCAACTTTGGCGACAGGAACTCAGATTCCACCGGGCCATCATGGTTAAGAAGCCAAGGCCCTGCTGAGCTAGAGCAGGACCTTGCTCTGCGGTGGGAGTTGCTACTTTCCCAGTTCCTGACATTCTCCCCCTTCTCCTCCCTCCCTCCTTGGCTGGTGTGTACACTCCTAACAAGGGGACCACAGGCACAGAGCACTGCCCTCCGTGCTGAGCCCCTGTCCCCATGCTGAGCCCCCACTTCATGCTGAGCCCCCACTTCCTGATGAGCACCCCCACTTCCTGATGAGCCCCCACTTCCTGATGAGCACCCCCACTTCCTGATGAGCACCCACTTTGTGCTGAGCACCCCTCCCTGTGCTGGGTGCTCCCAGGCGGGTAAGGCCTTAACTACCATGCACTCTTCTGATTTGACCACAGATCCAGGAGCTGCAGGCCACAGCAGGCCAGCACGGGGACGACCTCAAAGTCACCAAGTCCGAGATCACAGAGGTCAACAGGCTGATGCAGAGGATCCATTCGGAGATAGGAAACGTGAAGAAACAGGTGGGGACCGTTCCTGGCATTCTTCTCTGTGGGAGCATTTGACTGGAAACTCACCTGCATCACACCTGTGGTTCTAAAGCCATTGAGACCAGGAGTTTCCTGAACAGGAGTGCTGTATGGAAGCCAGAGCCAGGTTTGGGAGCCTCAGCTGGCCAGAGAGCTCACATTTCCCACTTTCTTGGCCTCTCCATCCTCCACCTCTGAACACTCCTATGAGTGTTTGCACACACACACACACACACACACACACCACACACACACACACACACACACACACACACACACACACACACAATTTCTGTGTTCATTGGGTTCATGATCCCAGGATTAAGTAAGAGCTTAGGAATTTTTTTTGAAAGACAGTGCACGACAAACACAATATTCCAGGCCCTTTCAGCCATGAGCCGAGGTGTCTGCTTTGACACGGTGCTGCATGCTCCCAGCTGGGCACGGCTCTTACAAGAGGCAACTTTAGATGAGAATGCCGCTGTGCCTGGCTCTCTGGGAGGGTGCCTCTGCGGGGGACAGATGGGCTCCCCTGTGATACTCACTCCGTGGCGTGTCCTCTGAGGTTCCTAGTGGAGGGGCTGGCCTGCCCTCCTCACCCCTTCACCAGAGCAGCCCGCCGCTTCACACCCGAGTCTCTGTGCTTGTGATGTTTGAAGGGTGCCCAAATCTCACGTCCTCCCAATTCGCAGCACTCATAAGGCATCCCCAAGTTTACCCTGTGCAGGCAGTCCAGTCAGTCAAAGAGCAGGGGACAGTCTCACCAGCTTCCTGTCACCCTCCCGCATGACCCGGCCTCCCGGGCCCTGAGGATGACCCATGATTTTCCACTGCCGGGCTGCCAGGCCATGGCAGTCTCCTGTGATCCACTCATGCAAAATTCTGGGCATGTTGGCAGATCTGCGGCTGCTCATCAGAGGAGGGGCTGGCAGCTGAGGAGAAAGTCCAGAGGTCATTAGGGATCAGGACTGGCTGTCGCTTCTTCCCTCTGAAGCAAACTTGTATAGGAAGCCCCTCCCCCCAAAGCCTTAGCTGAAAGACTGAAACACATGAACTAAAAGACCCAAGAAGCCCCTCGAGTCCTTACACTCGCCAACACTTGAGCCCACGATTGCAAGATTCACCACTGAAGATGTCTGCCACCCTCAAAGCCGTGCAAATGCACAGTGAAGCCCGTTCTTGTCTCTGAGTGTGATTCCCAGTGGGTGGGGGTGCAGACTGAAGGCATAGTGGTCCTGCTAGACAGACATTTGACTAAGAGGAAGTTACCAGCCAACACTTCCACCCTCCGGTGTGGGCACGCCTGGGTCAGCCTGTGCTGCCGAACTGCTGAGCTCCAGCCGCGGGGAGACCTCCACGGGTTGTCTTTAGAATCTGACAGCTGGCAGCCTCTAACCAAGTGGGGCAGGGCTGGGGCACACACGCAGGCGGTCGTCCTCTCTCGTGGGAGGATTCTACCTTTGGAGGTCAGGGACGGGGTGGTGGCAGGGGAGGAGGAGTCGTCGAGGCCGACGGTACCGGGAGGCAGGGAAGGATAGCCTCACCTCCAGGGATGTCCAGGCTGGACCCCGAGCATCTGCTCTCAGGCAGCAGCAGGAGAGGAGGGCGAGCAGGACTTCAGGGCCGGAACACCCAGATCGTTTCTTCTGCAGTGCTCCAACCTGGAGACGGCCATCGCTGACGCCGAGCAGCGAGGTGACTGCGCCCTCAAGGATGCCCGGGCCAAGCTGGACGAGCTGGACGGTGCCCTACAGCAGGGCAAGGAGGAGCTGGCGCGGATGCACCTTGAGTACCAGGAGCTGATAAGTGTGAAGCTGGCCCTGGACCTGGAGATCACTACGTACTTCAAGCTGCTGGAGAGCGAGGAGAGCAGGTGAGGGCACATCCTTTGTCTGGGGGGAGTTTGCTCTCTGCTGTGATAGAAAGGTCAAAGGCTATTTGGCTCTGTTCAGGTTCCAATGAAGTTAAATCACGCCACAGACATAAATTAGACAGAAAAAGGAGCAACTTGTAAAATACGGAAAGGGCGGTGGGAGAGCACGCGTGGATGCCACCGCTTAGAATGCGCCCTGGCTCAGATGGGGAGAGAGGCAGGGAAGAGCCGTGCAAGTTCAGAGTGACTGTGGCAAGGCCTGAGGCTCAGCGAGGACGTGGGATCGTTCTTACTATCACTCTAGAGAGCAATGGGGCCATACTTCTGTGTTGCAGATGGCCTGGAGTGTCAGGTGTCCCCAAAGGGGCTCCCTACAGCAGGGTTGCTCAGGAGGGGGAGAGGGGAGGCTCGGACTGGCTCGCCCTGCTGGGAAAGACTGAACCTTGGAGGTGACTCCCTGAGTAGATGGGGGATTGCTCACGTTGGATTTACCTGTTCTCTCTCTATAGGATGGCTGGTGAGCACCCAAATTCTGTGAGCATTTGTAAGTACCCATTTGTCTTGGTCCGTGCTTGGTTATCCTATCAGGAGTCTAAGTAGCTCTCATTTCAAGGCACAAAGGAGAAACTGGAATCACAGGGAGAGTGGGAGTAAGGAAGGGGTTAAAGACAGAAAGAGGGTCTGGCTTCAATGGCCAAGGGAAGAAGCAAAGGCGGAGAAGAATGTTCTGAAACATTCTTCAGGGAAAACAACAGCACATCCAGCTGCAATGATTCTGATGGCGGCACTCTTCCTCCCCAGGCCCAATGGCGCGGCTGCGCCCTCAGCTTACTTCTCTGTAGGGAGTGCAAAGTCCTATACCGATATATAGACCCAAATCACATGCAAAAAAAAAAAAAAAAAAAGGTTGAATGTTTGGGGTACAGGTAAAATGAAGATACAGCTATGAATGGTGTCAACAAAGATATCTCAGAACTGAGAGACTGAAACAGAGAGAGACAGAGAGACAGAGACAGAGAGAGACAGAGGGAGACAGACAGACAGAAAGAGAGAGAGAGCTAAGGGAGTGGCATGGTGCCCATGATGGGCTCTGACGAGGTGGAGACTGACCGGGTCTGGGCCCCCCTTCCAGCCGTCATTAGCAGCACCAATGCCGGAGCAGGAGGCGCTGGCTTCAGTGTGGGCTTTGGTGCCTCCAGCAGTTACAGCCACAGACCTCTGGCCCTGGAGGTGAAGACCAAGGGCAGCTGCGGCAGCGAGCTCAAGGACCTCACAGCCAAAACCTCAGGCTGTGTGGCCAAAAAGGCCTCCAGATGACAGACGGTGCTGTGAGCAGAAGGCTGTGGACCCCAGCCGCCCCTCCTCTCTGTCCTTGGGTCCCTTTCCCAGCCAGGAAGTGTTTTCTCTATCACTGGGGTCTCCACATTCTCCCAGCCCCTTTCCCTCAGCTCAGGGAACAGCCTGGAGCAGGAAGGCCCGCAGCCATGCGCTCTCAGGAAACTATCATGCCTTCTCTCAGTGACCTCTCTCCCACTTGCTTTTTATTGGGTAGCCACACCCCACACAGGTGACCCAAGGGTCCAAAATACTTCCCTGAAGCCACCTGCCAGCCCCTCTGTTGTGTCTTCTTCCAGCCTTCCCTGTCAGGGGGCCTTTGTGCTCATGCTTCTGTCTAGTCCTCTGCTGCTCCTGCAATAAAGGATTGATTGATGCCATCACCCTGGTCTGCTTCCCGTCACTGTAACAGAACACTTGAGGTCGGGTACTGCGGGTGGAACAGGAAAGGTCACCCCACAAGCTCATGCTGTGCTTGTGGCATTATTTTGAGGTCTGCGGAAGCTTTAGGGGATGGGGCCTGGTTGGTGGAGGAGGTCAGTGGGGGTGGGCGCCAGCCTGCTCTCTGTACTCCTGGTTCAGACGCCAGCCACCTGAGGAGTCTCTGCCACACACTCCACCCCATGAGCAAGTCGACACCAGTCCTCTCAACCCATAAGCAACAACAAACCTCCTCCCCAAAGGAGTTTCAGCCCGTAATTCTTAAAGAACAGGGCTTACTTTGGCTCACGGTTCTGCGGGTCTAAGAGCTCCTCACCAGCATCTCTCCATCTTCTGGAGGTCACAGCACAGTGAAGATGCAGATGGGGGGGGGGCCCGAATGGAGGGAGCTTGTCTTCAAGGCTGAGCGATGGAGGTTGTCAGGATTGCTTAATTAACTTGCTCTAGTGAGTCATTCATCCAATCCCAGGGCAGCATCTCCACAGCTCGATTGAAGTCCAAAGATCCCACTGGAAGTGAGTTTCTCCGTGACTTAGGTGGGGACAAACATGTCCAGACTTGCTCCTGTGTTTTTCTGCGTGTTGCCCAAACATCAGCCTTTACATTGGCCAAACTTCTTTTGGGGCTGACTCTTGCTCCACCCCAGGCCATCAGTCACACACGCCCTGTATCATCTGGTTTCAGCCAGGTTGGCATCAGGGGACAAACAGCTGAGGAGACTTATCACTGATGGCGGCTGCAGGGAGGGCTCAACACTGCTTCCCACGTGGTCATGTGTGAGATGCATGATGTCACCCCACTGAGGAGACACAGAGTAGAGCTTCAGTGGGGCTTGTTACTCAGGTTCTCTCGCCCTGGGGTCAGCCCGGTGGCCCTTCATTTCCCCCTGCAGTGGCCTCATTTTCCTTTTCTTCTAGCACAAGCAGGAAGTTCGTGTAGGCGGGATCTTCCGGCTGCATCTGCTCCTATGGTGTGCGGCTTATAGAACAAGGATGGGGAGAGCCATTGTCTGCCGCTGAGGATACCCAAACAGACAGCACAGGCAGAGACCTGCGGGGCTCTCTGTCTCCGGAGGGGAGATGGAGAGGGCAGGGGAATCTGGCAACTAGCAAGGCAGTGTGTAGCGAGTCCTTGAGCAGTGTCAGCTGCTGTGATGGAGAGTCACGTGGCACAGGGAGAGGAGCCATCTGGGTGGTCTTTGTAGGGTGTGTGTGATTTCTCGAGTGGCTAGCCAACCGCTGTGAACACAGTTTTCATCTCGAGCAGGCCCGCCTTTCAAGAATGAGCCTGCTGACGGGTGGCCTTCCGGTGCCTGTGGCCTATCTGCTCCCATGTCCCACCCCTCCTTGACCCATTAGCCTTTCCCTCAGCCAGCCTGGCTCTTCGCTCCCAGGGCCATCGTCTATTTCCCGTTTATCAGAAGCTTGCTCGTCCTTCGTAGTTGGGCTGAAGTGCCATTCCCCCCATGTGCCCGAGGTGCCCAGCTCCTCCGAGGAACAAGGCTCCAGCTGCCAGCCCAGCAGCTCCCAACCCCCACTCTTCAAGCGAGCAAGCGGAGCACAGGGGGATGAAAGCTGCCTAGTGAGGGGCAGCAGGGGTGTGGACGTACCCACCCATAAAGCTGTGACCCCCAACCTCTGCGCTGCTCTCTTCTCCATCCTTCAACGCTCCTTTGTCACGAGGTCGTCAGGGGCAGCCCAGCTCAGGATTCATTTGATGCAGGAATGTGCTGGTGAGCAGAGTCCTCTTCTCTGGGGAATGAGAGCTAGTGTAACACAAACATCCCAACGCCTCGGCACATGGGTGAGAAAAGGCCAGGTTAACAAGTTCGTGTGTTTTACAGATCCACATACTCCCAGTTATCATTTTTTTATTCACACTGGGCCTTTTGGTATCATCAGATGACACACTGATCCTTGGAAAGAGGCCAAGCAAAGACGTTCAGGTTCACGATCCCTCGACCCGGCATTCTGGCTTTGAGTGTTGGTTCTTTTTAATTACTAGTTGCAGCCCGGCACAATCACGCAGTGTAGAATGGCTTAGCATTAGCTGGCCTTCGGTATGCCGGCCACTCGTCTCAGCCCTGCCGGGGCGCCTTCTACCAGGCAGCATGGTTAATTCTCCTGATAACCGATAGGAATCGTTGTTAATGACAGAAGTGCCATGGGGGCATTGGGATCACATATTTGGGAGGGGGAGGGCAGAGGTGGGCACTGGAACCCTGGGAGGTTCTGGGGTCTGTGCACCCAGTTGGACACCCCAGCTGCGGTTCTGATTGCAGCTGCGCTTTGCCTAATGAAGACACTAGGTAGTTGTGCCACTGCAAACATCAGTGTGATCACACCCACCCCTGAAGAGATGTGCCAGACCTAAGTTGTGCACAGCAGCTGCTGGGGCACGCAGTGCACTGTAAGATGGTGATTCCGCACGCAGTGTGGCTTCGCAGACACACGAAACAACCATTCACCTTGTCAAGCGTTGCCACTGCCCGTGAATGTGTAAGCTGCAGCTGTTCGCCCCTGGCGGTGCACCCCAGCCTCACCGTGGACCCCGAGTCCTGCCCAGGGCTCGATAGCTGGAGCTTCACGGAGTGACGGGAATTTTTCAGCCTTGTTGTCCCCCTACAGGACTGAGCATGCGATGTGCCACTGCTTTTGCTGGTTAGGTAGCTTCATTTAGAGAGAGTCTCTCCGAGGAGCACTGTCTAGCTGAACACCCTACGTAGCCCAGGCTGGCCTTCGACTTGCAGTGGTCTTCCTGTCCCTGCATCCAGAGTGCTGGGAGGCCGGCACCACACTCTGCCCACGGGACCGTATTTCCTTGAGTCTGTGTCTATAAGGGCCTGAGTCTCTCTGTAGGATGCGCCTTGGTTGGTTCAGGCCCAGGAGACCAGCAGCAGCAGAACCCGGTGGATCTGGGCCAGGATAGTGCTAGCCCTCTGGTACCTCCAAGATGAGCACACACTGCCCTCTGCCAGCAGCTTCTGGTACTGCACCTCCCGTGTCCCTGAGAAGAGACTGCGGAAGCTTGGTGGTAATCTGTGTCAGCTCAGTGCCTCTCTGAAGGAGGTGCTGCTCGGCTCCCTGGCATGCCCTGACTGGTCCTGTGTCCTGTCTGCCCTCCTCCTCTCCTCTCACGGAAGGAGAAAGGAGGCCCCCTCTTACGGAACCTCCTCACCTTCAGTAGCTAGCTGTTCTTTCACACAGCTTTTCATCAGGTGCCTGAGAACCTCGGTGCTTGTCAGAGGTCCTGGGAGTATGGGAGGTCTGTCACTCAGCAACACTCCCTCCTCCCAGCCCTGCTGGGGCACTGTGTGAGCCCCAGCCCCGGCGATGAGGGCAGCCCTTGAAAACTCTGTCTCTCAAAGCAAACAAAGCAGGGAAAGTCAGGGCAGTACAGAGCTACACAGGGGAAGTCTTGGAAGGCTTTCTGGGGGAGGGTGTGGGAGGGGGCGAACCACTGGAGAGGGGAGCTTGGTGAAGACTCTGCAGGTTTCTAGGGCTCCACCACATCCACTAGCTGCAGGGCGACGACCACATGGCGGACGAGCGTCCTGCACTGTCCTTCCGTCTCTAGGCTCCTCTTTGGCATCTACTCCCAGCACCACGAGGGGCTGGGGGGTCCTTCCCACCTCCTCCTGTGCCAGCGTGGCATCGACTCCACTCCTGTGCTGCTGTTGCTCTCTCTCAGGAAGACCTATGGTCCAGACCCTCCCTCGTACCTCCCACCATCCATCCCCACAAGGCGTGGGATTTTAGGTCTGGATCTCTGAGGTGCCAGGTTCTTCTAGCTGAACTACAGACAAAGCATCCAGTGTGAAATAAAAGCCACTCAGGCCTGGAACAGGACAGGAGTGTTCGTGGAAGGACCCCCTGCGGCCCACCAGTGGTGCGCTGACCCCTGGCTTTGTTTCTTCTGCTACTCATAACTGGCAACTCTGCTTTGTTTGTTCCTTTTTACAGTGGGGGGGGGGGGGGGAGGATCGGCATGAGTGTGAAATGAGAAAAAAATATTCAAAGTGGTGAATCTAGCAACTAGTGCCCGTGAGCCGTGGGCAAGTGGTCGCTCCGTGTTTTGCCGAGGTGTCTGCCAGGCCAACTTCATCCCAGTGTCTGCCCCGTTCTAGTCTCATGGCGTTCTCCTCAGCCCCTAGAAGGTTCTTTCCTGGGGCGCTGGCTCCTGGGGCACTGGCCTCACAGCTTGCTCCGCACTGCCCCTCACTGGAAAACCAGCGTGTCCCAGTCCTGCGTCATGGTTCTCACTGCCAGGCTCCCTGCGGGGTGTTAGCCTCCCCTCTCAGCTCTGATAGCTCCTGACGGACTCATTTCTGCAAGCCTCCTTCTGATCTGGCAGCGGGTACCTCAGCTGGCTACAGCCGTAAAACCCCACTTGCCTTCCAGGGACCCCTGGCAGCCAGGGAAGCGAGGACTTGGTTTCCTCGCTTCCAGAATCCCCTGCACTTCTGCTGGCAGGGGGAAGAATTTCCCTGCGGCAGGGGAGGAGCTGACGCTGTGGCCCGAGCTCCAGGCACCTCATCTAGTGGCCCCTCAGTGCT